CTAACCAAAGACAACACATTCGTGAAATGGCCCTGAAATTGCATGTCTCTCATGAAACAATACGTAAACATCTAAGGAATATGGTAAAACTACAAAAAGAAGGTATTTGGGTGCCTCACGAACTCTCCAATGATCGTTTGCTATTTCATTATTATCATAACCCAAGCAAGCAATCAACTTTCGATTGCCATCCGACATCTCTTCCAAAACAGCTCTTTCAGAATCACTTGTCTTTTTTTCCTTCTATTTTGTACTGAAACGTTTGGTCTGTCTTTTGGTTGTTTGTTTGTTTTCTCCTAGCTATGGTGCATCGAATAATATATCGATCCTTATATCTATTTTTAGTATCTGAAACAACTTGTCCTTTAAGTAACTTGAAAGCTTAATTTAGTATCATCAACGTTACACGTTTTTCAAACCAATATTAATATAGATTCACTGTGGTGAATAAAAGATAACAAAGAACACCATAAATGAAATAAATTTGCTGTATGCTTGGATGAATTACGTTTCTAAAAAAAATTATCCCACTTAGTTAAGTTGACTTCAATCGCTGACCCCTCGTTTGTAGGTAGGCTGGTTGCTTCGCATGACGTAAAAGAGATTAAGTTTGTTTAAAGTTAAACACAAAGCTACACAATGGGTTTTCTGTGTTCTGCCCACCACGGGTATTGAAACCCGATTTCCAGAGTTGTAAGTCCGCAAACATACCGCTGTGCCCCTGGGGGGCGTGTAAAAGAAAGTTCCTTTATAGGGTTACCAGTGGCCTCTGGCTGTATATGGTATTTTATTTTTTAGTTCACTTATTCCCTCTGAACGTCTATGAACCATATTCTGTGGTTGCCGCTTTTGCCTAATATTGTATAACAGATCGATAAATTATTAGTAGAGTTGTAGGATTTGTTAAAGGGGCTTCTTTTATGTGCTTGTCAGATTCCTCGTTCTGCTGTATCCCTACACAATCTAGCACATACATTCAAGTGACGGTCTTACTATGCAGTGTCTTAGCTTTTTTTTTTCATCTATCTGGGAACCAATCAGATTGACGTTTATGCAGTACTGCTTAGGAGTCAGTCACATATACTATATTTTTGGCGCTGTCTAGTTGTAGTTTATTTC